GCAGTAACATGTTAATGTGAGGACGACCCACTTGATAAACAGCCATGAGCTTAAAAAAGGACATTGAAGAGTGCCAAAAGACACAGAGAGAGAAAGTGGGAGCATGCATGTGTGCCATGCACAACATATACTAAAGCTTTAATGGATTATAGCTAACTATAGATTATAGTTACTACCAGTGATGGACGAAGTACACAAATCAAGTACTTGAGTAAAAGTACAGATACGTATTATAAAATATTACTCCAGTAAAAGTAAAAGTACTCCTTTTTCAATTTTACTCGAGTGAAAGTACAAAAGTACTCGATTTTTTATGTACTGCAGTTTGCATCATTATTACCAGAGTGAACTTATTGCCAGTATATTTCTCGCTATCCACAAGCAATTTAACTTACAGAACAAACCGCAATTGACCGATTTTGATCGATCTGTGGACTAGCAAGGGACATTTCAGTAGCAGGTCGATAAATGTTGGTAAGTCGACTTCATATTCAAAATAAAACTCAAATTACTATCATTAGAACCCCGCTGAAAGCTAAAACTTCTTATATAATGGCTGCCATGTTGTTGACTTTAGGCAAATCTCATGGATCAGTCCGTGATTCAGCCTGAAACAAGTAAGTACCCAGCTAACAAAAATGAGTTGTCAGGAACGTTTTTTTCTAACATTTACATAACGTTAGTGAAAGTTATGGGAACGTTCCCTGTTAGCTGGGTAGCCACTTTTCTCGTGGTTTTAACGTTACCTACGAGCTAATGTTTGATCAATGAACTTTGCTTATTGTTTTTATTGATCCAGTGGAACTGGTGGTTGTCACTCATGTTGTGGATGCCATCACGTTTTGGGCTCAGGTAAGCTTTAATAGTTACTGTTTACCAAGTTCATTTGACATGACAAAGTGGGGTAAACTTTTCCTTTGATGTCAGATTGAATTGATTGCTATTGTTACTTTGAGTCAAAAATGTTAACTGCTACAACATTTCTTCTAGAGTTGCTGGTTTTTGTCAGTGGTGGACGAAGTAAATCAAGTACTTGAGTAAAAGTACAGATACGTATAATAAAATATTACTCCAGTAAAAGTAAAAGTACTCCTTTTTCAATTTTACTCGAATGAAAGTACAAAAGTACTAGATTGTTTATGTACTTAAGTAGAAAAGTACTGATAGATTTATTTTGCAATTTTATATAGGCTAATTTAATTTTATATTAGCACATATTTTTTTATAATCCTACTGCTCAAAATACCTGGGATTTTCCCAAAATAACCACTATATGTAGTCAAGATATATTTTTGTTGTTGATATGGACTACGTTGACGAGAGTGATGTAGTAGTGTTCACTATGAAGCTTACACTGCAATGTACCTGAAAACAGATTTGACCATCTGATTTTCACCAGTAAGAAATAAAGCTTGTAAAGCTTGTTGTTTTGCAGAACATCACAGTTATATATGACATGAGAATAAGGCCTGAAGTGATTTTAAGGATTTTAAGGAAAATATAATTATATTTTCATAATGATTTTTTTTCTTCTCAAACCTTGTCTGTGGTGTAAAAACACCCCTGGCCAAATGCCCCCAGAGGGCATCACTACCCACTTTGATATTTACTGTAGTTACCATGTTCTGAACATCACATCCTTTCTTTTTCCCTCAGATGTAATCTATCTAGGTGGTTGAATAAAAATATTTGGACTTTATATCTAAGAATTACCTCAACTTAGCACACCAGCAAGCTTGTTAGCTAGACAGTTAGCATCAGCTAACAATATTTACTTATTTTCAGTATGGTTATGAATAAACTTTCATATCTGTCTACTCCGCTAGTTAATCCAAACAATATAAAAAAGTATACTGTTGATAAACAATATAAAAACAGACGTCACATAGGGCTAAATGTGTAGCATTTTAATAAAACTGTTAACGTTACAGCAGCGGGGAATATGAACGTGCATGAATTATTTTAATCTGTGTTATTTTAATGTTTCGGTTTTTTTTTTAAACTAAAATAGAGACACTTGATGTTGATGTGTCTGCATTCAAGCATTTCAGTGGCAACCCTCTACGCACTTTGAATCAGTGAGTTGTCGACTCGAGAACAACTGCAATCGGTTCATTCTAATTCGTCAATGAATCGTTTGGTGCGATATGCGAACCGATTTAAAATGTTAATTGAAAAGAATCAGTTCGTTCTTGAATCAGACACCGCTTCTGCGTCTCGGAGCACGTGATATATTATAAGGCGTAACGATATGTTTTATGAAATGTAGTGAAGTAAAAAGTACGATCTTATGCTTTGGAATGTAGTGAAGTAAAAGTAAAAGTTACTCAAAATAAAACGACTCCAGTAAAGTACAGATACTTGAAAAATGTACTTAAGTACAGCAACGAAGTAAAGCTACTCTGTTACTGTCCACCACTGGTTACTACTAATTTTAGCATCTCAATTATGCATCTATTTGATTTATTGTCAGTCTCATCTTCTTAATTCTACAAACATATACGGGGAATACATATAGTGTATTTGGCTTGATAACTAAAAAGCATCCATACATTGTATGTATTGACTGCAAAGATTGCACACTGTTTTCAGAAAATTGTGTTTAGCACATACCTGGGAAAATTTAATTTATATAAGCATAAATTGCTTATGAAGGGAATTATATCCATACTGATTAAAGTTAAAATATGCTTGTGAAGTGATTAGAAGTTACTTGTTACCTGAGCCTGAATGATTAAAAGTGGGTTATGGTTATCTTCACCTTTCTTTAGAAAAACACATTGTCGTTTTTTCATCATGAAATATTTAATTTTCCATTTATCACTTCAGTGAGCTCAATTTTTATATTTGCAATTTAACTCTGAAAGACCTTCCAGCCTGGGATCTTGTTATAGCAGCTCATGCAGTATGGAGCATGGGCTGAGGGGAATGAAACTGGGACATGGCGGTTGGGGAGATGTAAGAGATGATGATTAATGTGTTGCTTATGGCCTGTGCTGAAGGGAGGGGAGGAAACAGAACATTTCCAAAATTCAATCAGATTCCTGTGAGCAGTATTAGTAGATTCATTGCCATTGTCTATCTATCTATCTATCTATCTATCTATCTATCTATCTATCTATACACACACACACACACACACACACACACACAAATGAGTGCACGCAGTTAAAAAAAAATATCTCAGGAGGTTGTTCAAAGCTATGTAATGCAAAATGTTCATTCAATTTTAATTGCTTTTGTTTCATCATAGATGTGAAAATCCAGAGAAATAAAGAAACAATGCTGTATGTTAGGCTCATCAAATCAGGTCAGTTTTCATGTAATTTGCTTTGAAGAGGTGAGAGGGACCTGTCCATGGTCCTGATATCAATGCAACCTCTCAGATGTGGACAAAATTTAGGAAGTCCAGTACTGGCCGTAGCGAGTGAGGTGGATGGTGTTAATGACTCAAGGGCCGACAGATTCAATGGGGCTTGCAAAAATTAACCCTTTCTTTCTCTCTTTAGTAGGTTATTTAAAGTTGTAAAATTCAATTCATACAAAAACATCTTGAATACAGCTTTCTGTGATGAACACATTTTCAGTATGAGTTTTTAGCATTTTTTTATATTTTTGCTGGGCTTAAAAACAAAAATGACTAGGTGGTTTAACTGCCCATAGCTTGTAAGCAGTTATGGCATAAGCTTGGCACAATTATTATTATTTATTTGAAATGCAGTGAAGCATTTTTTAAAATGCTATTGATATTTGAAAAGCTTTTGTCAGCCAAATCAAAGTCAGTGTGGTGTAACCAACATAGACTCTCATGACTGTGTGGTAGGTTTGGAAAAAGTACAAACTTCATGACTCAATAATTACCCTGAAAAATGTGTTTGAAAATGAAAATGTTTGCATGATGGTCGCATCACCTATTTATTTTTAGCACTTGATATTTTTGTATTCCAAAATGTATTGGAAACGGTGTAAAAAAAAATGATTGTGAAATGATCTATGTGTGCAGTGTATGTGAAGAACTCATAGGAAGGCGCGCGACTAGAGAGAGAGAGAGAGAGAGAGAGAGAGAGAGAGAGAGAGAGAGAGAGAG